GAGGCAACTTGTTATGTTGGTGGCCTTCCATGAACCCCATATCTCCTGGAATCCACACTCCTACACAGTCCTCTTCAATCAGAATGTGTGACTTACTTTACTTGACAGCAGAAGTGATCTTATGCCAATTTGTGGCCTATGTCTTAAGAAGGCTCATCAGTGTCCACTTTTACCCTCTTGCAAGCCTGGATTCACCATGCAAGACGTCTGGCTACCAACTGGAGAAACTGTGTGTAAAGAATCCAGGGAGAAAGAAGAGGTCTCAAGACTTCATGGTAGGGACTAGGGATGTGGCTAAGTGGTGGGGCACATGTTCAGCATGGTGGGGCTCTAGGTTCAATTCCCAGCACCACCAAAAAAGAAAGAAGACTTCATGGAGAGAGGGGCCAGGCTCTGCCAGCCAAGTCCAGCTCACAACCAACCCACCAACTGATGACAGGCACATGAGTAACCAACGGCAAATCCACCAGAAGAACCACCTTGCTGAACTCTTCCTAGGTTGCACAACCATGAACAAATAAAACGGTTATTGTTTTAGGCCTTTAAGTCTTGGGGTGGTTAGTTATTAGTGATAGATAATTGAAACAAACAGTAACTATTATTTTCTTACTTGCTCAGGCTAAAACCTTAGAGTCACCTTTTGGTCCTCTTTTTCTCCTGCTGCTCCTCAGGCTCATATGCAAATCCAGCTGGCGTTATCTTCCAAGACTATGCAGGATCTGCTTCTGCCACCATCACCCTTGCCCCTGCTGGACCCACCCAAGTCCCCAATCTCAGTCCAATTTCCATATCAGAGTCTAAAGGATCCTTTAAAAACACAAAGAAAGCCACATATTCCTTTGCTCAAAACCCTCCAGTGGCCAACCGCGTCACTCAGAACACCACCGATTCTTAAAATATCCCCAAGTCCCTATGATCCAAGCAGTCCCCCTTGTCTCATCAACCAGGCCTCCAGACCACCCTACCCAGTTCTCTCCGATCCTGGCCTCCCTGCTCATCCTCAAATGTAGGAGGTCTATCTTGGGCCTCTTTGCTCACGGTCCCCTCCACTCACATAGTTGACTCCCTCATTTTAGTTTGGTCTGAACTCAACGTTTCGTGAGAGAATCCTGCTCTGACCAGTGTATCTGAGCGCGCATGCCCCATTCCAGTCTCCTGGCCTGTCACTGGTCTGCTATCCACTTCCTATCTCCCTTTGCTTGCCCTTCACTCTCCCTCTTGTTTCTTGTCCATCTCCTTCCATCACTGCACAAGCTCCATCAAGGCAAGAGTTTCGAGTGCTTTGTAGCACACCCAGCATCAACATACCTGGCATTGACAGTGTTCAATAAACACATGTCAGATGAGCAGACATACTTATTGTTAAGTGCTGCTTTTCGTATCTCTTCCTGAAAATGAAAACAATCCCATGCCCCAAGCTCAACACTGTTACCCGAGAGTAAACATGTTTCTCACCTGCTCAAACCCTCTCACGGCTTCCCATTGCCTTAGGATCACATGTGCTCAGCAGGCTCCAACTCTGCTCATCACTCCACATCAACCATACCACTCAGCAGCAGAGCCTGGCTTTGCCTTTCCCATGTGGTTCCCTCCTCCGGGAACACCCTTCCTCCCGTTCATATGGGTCATCCCTCAGATGCAACCTAAATGCACACCTAAATGAACACCTTTCCTCCCACATCCACCTGCTTAGGACCCACTCAGAACTTTGTGGGGCCCAGTGAAAACTGAACATGGGAGTCCCCTTATGCAAAAATCAAAGAATTTCAAGGAGTGACAGCAGAGCTTAAATCAAGCATGGTGCTCTTCTGAGCATGGGGTTCTGTGAGTCCCCCACAGGTCACTTGCCCATAAAACTGGTCTGTTCAGTGACCGTGGTTAACTAAGGCAGATGCAGCCATGTGTGCCCAGGCTGATCTTGATTTTGTTAATGTGTCAACAAGTATTCTTGCTTTATGGAGAGAGACTAGAACTTTGTCTGGAACCAAAGACTGTTCTATCTCCAGGGTGGGGACCCACCATGAGGCACTCCATTCCGGCAAAGACCTTCCATTGCTAATTTAGCACAAGCTTAGCTTAATGACATGGTAAGAGCCAAGAAGAAAAGAGACGGTGGGGATAATGTCCTCAACCTCTTTATGATGCAAAGCAACACAAGCAAGAAATCCCACGGGACCACAGCAAGGCCGTTTCTTGCTCTCCTAGGTATTTCAGCTTGTCACATTTCCCCCCTGGTTTTTGGAGAACAGCTTCTCAGCAAAGCCAGCTAGGCTTAAAAAAAAAAAAAAAAAAAACAGACTGGAAAGTTTTTCTTTCAGGTACTCAACCAAGTTTTGAAGAAATGCAACATTTGCTCTTTTATGAGTAGGGCCACTGCTCCACAAATGCAAAGCAATCATAGCCTAATGAAATAAATATAAAATGCACAGTTTGAATCATTTCTTCATTTTAAAACAGGAGAGCCATAATGTAAAGCTGCTCAGCCCGCCATTACATTCCCCTTAGCATTTTATCATCCATATCTGACCTAAATTATTTTGCTCTTAGCCCCTCTCCTCTAACCTCCAAGATTCTGGCCAAGTTTTGCAAAGTTTTAATACTATCCACAATGAGACCATGTTTTTTGTTGTGACCCAGCACATGTGTATCAGTAGAACTAAAAGTCTCAGGAGCAGTGCACTCATTTTCTAATGCATGTCATGTTTTAGAAAAAACATCATCTGCCCCACTCAATCGGTTTTTACAAGCAACTAATGGTCATGACCCACGGTGTGGACACACCGATTTTAGCTTTTAGCTTACATTTTGTGTCCGTTATTGCTGCCATCAGACCTTAACTCAAGTTCCATCTGTCTACACCATCCACAATAAAAACCAAAAGCCAGGCAGTTTTTTTGTTTTTGTTTTTGTTTTTTTAAAGACAGCCAAGAACTTTCTAGTAGGAAAGTGGTGACCATTGTACAGCTGGAAGACTGAAATTACAGGAGGCAGGACAGAAAGTAGGTCTTCCTGGCTTGGTACAAAGACGGGGAACAGCCACACAGAGGCAGGAGAAGGGCAAAGAGGGAACTTCCTGTCTGGCATCCTCAGCGTGGGCCCACTGTTTTATTTAAAGTGGCGCAGTCTCCCAGGATGTCAGACACACTCACATCCACATCTACAAAAACGTTTCAAAGAAAGGTTTCTCTGTCATCTTTGAGGCTCCTGTCTCCTCTGCCTCTCTCCTATTTCTAAGTGGTCAGTCACCATGTTCTGTCATCTTCCTCTTCAAAGAATTACACCCCTGGGGCTTCCCCCTCTAATCTCTGGCTTCTAGCCCATTCTGAAGTGAACTTGTGAAATTCAGGCCCTTCACCACAGCCAGACAAGCCAAGGCCCTTCAGTGGCGCCGACCACATCGGGTACACCTTCATTTTTCTGGCTGGCCTTCAGAACCCAGCGCTTCCATCCCCAGCTTACCCTCCCCAGCAGGTCACGTCTGCCTGTTTCCTGGGTGCTGCTCTCTACATACCACATATGGCCCTGCTGCAATGTTTTGTAATGATAATAATGTAGACACGCTCTTCAGGAGAACAGCTCCATGCCGGGTCCCCTGCAAACCACCTCCAATTCTCACACCACTCTTGTAGGCAGTCGTCATGACAGGCCAAATTGCAGGACCCAGGCTCTCTCCACCACCTCTCAGAACCCCAGATGACACAGGACCAGCCAGCCACGTGCAAGGTTGCCTTTCCTGCTTGCTACCTGTGTTAGCTTTTTGCCATCATGACCAAAACACCTGATGAGAACAACTTAGAGAAGGAAAATTTTATTTGGAGCTCACCGTTTCATCCCACGATGGGGGGACCCCATTGCTCTGGGCCTGATGTGAATCAGAATATCATGGCAGAAGGATGTGGCAGAGAAAAGTGTTTCAGCTTGTGGCAGCCACCGTAAAGCAGAGACAGAAAAGCCAGGGACGAAATATAATCCCCAAGGGCACAATCCCAATGACCTTCCCCCCAGTGCCTTACCTGCCTACAGTTACCACCTAGTTATCCCTTCAAATTGCTAATCCATCAAATGGATTAATCCACTGAAGAGGTTACAGTTCTCATAATCTAATCATTTCACCTCTGAACCTTCCTTCATTATCTAACGTGAGCTTTCTGGGGGGACACCTCATATTCAAACCATAATACCTTCAGAATGGCCATGGCCCCGAGGTGAAGGAAGAAGCTTATGGGACCCTCAACCTGTCACCAACATTTACGATTCTAGGTTCTCCAGATGAAGAAGAATCCTGCAATCACTCGGCACCAGGAACCTACTCACTGGCAGGTTCATTTCTTCATGTGTGGACAACGAGATATGGGTCACCCACAAGGCTGTCCTTGGGGACTACTATGGCTAATGACAGTTAGCAGCAGGCTGTGAGGTGGGGGTATGCATAGAGGCCTTGATTTCCATGTCCCTGGCCATAGCCAGCTCTTCAGGTCACTTAATCTCTAGAATACAGTGGGGAAACATCCCCTTCGTGTTCCTTATCCTCTCATATGCTTTTTCTAATGTTCCCTGCCTTGTGCAAGCAGCAGATCCTCCAGGAAGCCAAACGCAATGCTCTCCACTCTAAAGGTGGGTGTTCATGCAAGAACGACCTTTCTGGCCAGGTACAGCGACACACACCTATAGCCTCAGGACTCTAGTGGCTGAAGCAGCAGGAACACCTGAGCCCAGGGCTTTGAGCCCAGCCTCAGCAGCACAGTGAGACCCCACGTGTTATGTGTTATATAATACTTGTGTTATGTAATATATTCAATACAGGTAATATATATAGTACACGTATATAACACATGATATGTAATATTATATACATACATATATATTTTCCATTTAATCTGAAACACTTGGAAATCAATGCTGGTCTTTTCTCCAACTCACCAAAGTGAAAAGAATGACCAGAAGGACCAGGGCAGAACCCAGACAACCGTTTCCAAATCCAGCGTGGTCAGCCAACCTACCTTGGTCAAATCCATTCCAAGTTTGAGCTGTGAAATGAGGTGAAGAATTATACTGCGATGATCCTCCATGACGCCCAACTCTGTCTCTTCCTTATCTTCATTGTCAGTTTTTTCATCTTCGGACAAAACCAATTCAGGGCCTGAGTTTGGCTAAAATGAAAGCATCATTAAAAATCACCAGCTGGTCTGTTAGAAGTTAGAAAAATAGCATATGAACTCATGCCTAATCACAAAAGGAGCCCAGGATCAGGAAGTAGTTCTCTGTACACAAGGCCTACTGGCCATGGGCATAAAAAGAGACCTTCACTTCAGGCCCCATGCCTTGGCCATCGCACATGGCCTCTCATCTCCCTTTTGTCATCCCCGTGAATGACCCTCATGAACTAATGATGGTTCCCAACTAAAACAAACAAAAAGCCTCCTGCTTCCTGCTCTTCAAAAAACTAACCATAACATATGGGCATGAGCCCCCTAATCTTGCCTAGCGCCAAAAACCTATTTAACTTGTATGACCCACGACACTTTATATAAGAGGCAAATTTTTCTGTTTACAAATAAGTATTGGATTCTCCTGGGACTAAAATTACCATATCTATGGAAAAATTTGCTCAGGTTATTTTGACTCAAATCAGGATAACAAGGGCAAATGCAAATCTCAGAATTGGCATTAATTTGAGAAGAGAAAGAAAATTTCAGAAAAAACCTCTTGAAACTATGGGGATTCATATTGGATGTATATTCCACTTTCCTCAATGCAAATTTATGCATCCAATTGCTGGACTCAAATTCCAAGTGACATAGAAAATTGGCAAGTTAATCAACAAAATGTGCAAGAGGGACTTACTGAATATAAAAATCATCCAATACCCAAGTATCAAGAACTCTGGCCATGAGGGTAAAGCTGTCCTGAAATTCTGCTAGAAGTGACCCCATTCCACTGCTCCATATTTTCCTGTGTTATGGTACTTGCTTATCTGTAAGCAAAAGTACTCCACAGAACATTATAGCTTTGTTTCCAGTTATGAATGACAGGTCAAACATAAATGCAGGAGGTCAAAGGTATTAAATATAAAATGATACAGACTTGTCTAAAGTTCATGCATAAACCAATGACTTATTAACCTCCTTAGAACATCCCATGTCTAAAGAGATGTCTAGTAGACACAGACTACCTTAATGATCAAGGGGTTTGAAACTGCCCAGCCTAACACACACATGCTGGCTGTCCCTGACCAACACTCCAAAAGGAGGGAATCATGGTGCTCCTTCCAGCCTGGGGTAGACATTTTTTAAATTTCAATGTAACAGACAAACTTCAAATTATCCTTAATCACCTCGAAAACAATCTCAGTTCTGGGAAGATGGTTGGGAAGGCCTCAATGAAACCCACAGGATTCAAGTGGGAGTTCACCTCCATTATGCGTCTGGTTCTCCAGCCTGCTCAGAATGGGTGCTACCGGACATCGATGGCAGTCTGCTTTGCTAGAATATGCCGAAACACCTGAGGAACCTGTCCTAGAAAAGAATGCCCGAGGGGAAGTTGGAGACGGGGGCTGCCCTGACTCTACATAGGGAAGTTGGGAGCCCAGAGGCTGCCCTGCCTCTCTGCCAGCTTCTCATTGCTACTCCCTTCTTCTGTGGTTCAGTGGTTATCACTACACCAAGGCCAATGTGGCTGTGTGTCTGAATGGCCAAGGCCAGGATTTGTCTGCACACCCGACTCTCCCTGCTCTGGATTCGGTTCACCACGAGCTTGCATTTCCAAACCGACACCACTGGAATCAGAGAGCTCAAACACGTTTCCCAGTGGCAAAAGTGACATTAACCTCCCTCGATGGAATATCTTACATCTAATGAAGCTTTCGATGACTGAGATGTTTGCAATTGTCCAGCCTAACACACACACACACATGCTGCTGTCCCTTACCAATACTCCAAAGAGGGATGGTGGTGACCTGAGTCATCAATCCCCTCATCCCAGGGCCAGTAGGGGAAGGACAGGGCAATGCCTAGCATTCTGCTTTGGGGGACAAAAGAACAACAAAAAAATCAAACCAAACCATCAGGGACAAAGTTGGGCTGTGAAATCCTTACCATCTCAACAAGATAGGCAAGTATGTTTCTAGTGCAATTATTCCTGCTTGAAATTAGTTGCTCTCACAAAAAAGACTGCAAACTAAATAAATCAATAGCTCAAGTGAGGCTGGTGAAGCAAACCAACCATTCTTCTGAAGACTGGATTTCCATTTGCCCACAAGCCAGTGCACAGGGAGATCTTCATCCTTCCCATTCACAGCCACACTTGGTGTGACATGTTCACAGAGGACCATGCTCTGCCATCTACCAGTCTCAAAAATTAAACCCAGCTTAGCCCCATTTAAGATCTTGCCACATTAAACCAAGTGCACTCACTCATGAGAGCACACTTCTCGGGTTCCTACTTGAAATCAACTTCACGTGTCTTCCCACCCACCCACCCTCTTTTGGAATGTTCTTCTCAAAGACTGGCTTCAGCAGAGATTAAGGCTGGTGCACAGGGCCCAGAGCTGACTCATCCAGAGTAACTGGTGTCCACAGCTCCTGGAGGCCCTGATGACCTGCCAAGGGAGGAAAGCCCATGGAAGGACACATTGTTCCAGCCACACCAAAGCTCAGTCTATCTGCAGGAAGGGCGGAGTAGTCTCCACGTAGGTCCACGTCTGTGTTGACAGGAAAGTGGGGAGAACCCAGCAGGCCGACTGGCCATGAAGACAGACACCCGTTAGGGCCCACAAACTGCTCACCACTAGGAGGCAGTACAGGGGATCTGAAGACTCAGCTCTGATAGAGGTTTAAAGGGACTCTTTTTTGGTCATGGGTCAGTTGATTCTTATATTCTAATGTGGAATCCAAAGATGAATATCTGTCACTCCAAGTGTTACTTTTGTGTCAAGTCCACGTGCTCACCCACATCCAGGCCCGCCCTCCCTCATGACATCCCACATCTCTCCTGGGTACACTTGCATGCCCATGTTCTCCAAATCTATGGATTTTCACCTACAAAGCAATAACATCAGACTGGAAGTGATTGAAGGTGGCAGAATGGTCTCTCTCCATCCTGGAAGAAAAATGGGCATCCGAAGTGGTTTCATAATGCTAATCAAATTTCTACAACTTAGCAAGAGGCAAGCTCAGATTCCTACTCCCCCCGAGATCTTTACAGATGAGCCGGTCCAGCCACAAAAATGTACATAGACGAAAAGATGAAATAAAATTAAAATTTGTTTTAATGAGAAGCAGGCTTTGGAAAAATGAGATTTTTAATAAAAACAAAAATTATGACTCAATATTTCTTACCACACGAGCACCTCGGGGTATGCAGTGCTACAAATATCAAGTGACTCATGCCTGTTAGCACATAGGGGGCAAAGCAAGTGAAAACTGATGAAGAGGAAAAGGTTTCCTAGGGAGGTTAGGGGCTAATTTAGGGCATTCCTTGGTGGCCCAGCAAGGCTCCAAGCAAAGGCTTTCGACAGCAAATGCCCCATGGACAGTCCTTAAGATACCTACCCACCATCTCACATCTTATGAAAACTTATGCATCTAGCATTTTTCTAAAGAGTATGCCCAGAGCTCTTCTTAGACTCGCAGCTGACCTCAGGCCTCTTAAGGATCAATGGTGAGACCATGTAAGATATGGAGTGAGAACAGAGGCAAGCCCACACCCGCCCCCTACCACTGACCTGCTCGTCTCATCCAGTAGGAGGAGACGGGGCATGAAACTATGACCCAGAACAGAGCCAGAAGGGAAAACTGACTTGTATTAGGTTGTACGGGCCCAACAGTCTTCTCACTGGGGACATGGGTGAAGGAGAAACATTTATCATTGCTTTCAATGTTTATTTTTAACAAAAATCTCAATTCTTCAATACAAATGCAAATTTCAAGCAAGAAGGAATCCAATCTTTTTATTGGATACATGTATGTAACTTAATTACAATTTAGGTCTGTTCTAGGAAAAGCCACCAAGCAGATGCTCACATGCAGAGTGTACTTACTTCCCAGTGGTAGGCCTCACTCCGCCCCACACCCTCACAAGGACTCCTCACTTCCTGGAGCCTCACCATGTCACCCCTTTCTACTCCATCTGCTCTTCCTCCCTCGGTGACCTTGCCTTCTCCCGAGTCCTGGCCTATAGAGAGCTAGGGCCAATGGCGGTTTGATGGATTGACTCCCTGCTGTATCTGTACATCCCAATGACCTAACATCTTAAAGGGCTGAATCCTCCTGGATTAGACTTGAGAGACATCATGGTAGAGGTCTATGTGATGGCATTACCCTTACAAAGGTACTTCATGCCTTATAATGGGGAGCTCATGCATGCTGGAGCCCTTAAATCAGACATGCAGGGGTAAAGGACTAAGATGAGCTCCTCAAGTCATTTTTACCCAAGGAAATAAGCATCCCGAATAAGTATTCATTTGGTGTGTGTGTGGGGTGTTACTAGGGATTGAACTCAGGGGCCCTCAACCACTGAGCCACATCCCCAGCCCTATTTTGCATTTTATTTAAGACGCGGTTTACACGAAGTTGCTTAGCACCTCGCTGTTGAGGCTAGCTTTGAACTCTCAATCCTCCTGCCTCAGACTCCCAAGCCACTGGGATAACAAAAGCATGTGCCACTGCACTCAGCCTGAATAGATATTCTTGAACAGAATATTTTCAGAAAAACAATCCTTTGATTTCAAGTGATCTGCAACTGTCCCGAATACCTCGTGCCAAGGACAGATAATACAGTAAGAATGGACGTCAAATTCTCTTCCAGCAGCGAGCACACTGCAGTTTGATCCACTATAAAGCCTGGCAACTTCCTCCACCACCACGATACAGTTACCTTGGGAAGGAGGAGCTGACATGAGTTGAGCTACACTAAAGAACCCTGGCACTGGACAAGACCCAACATTTCTGGGTATTATCCTTAGAGGAAAACAAAAACCTAGCAGGTTAAAATTTTCCGGTAGTGCTAGGAATTAAACCCAAAGCCTTGTGCATTCTAGACACACTCAACCACTCAGCTCCACCCCCAGTCCTTTATTTTTTGTTTATTTTTATTAGCTATTCATGATATTATAATAATCATGGCAATCACCCCCAGCCCTTTAGAAAGAATT